ACGATTTCTCCCCTTTAGGTTTCAAAATCGATTAATTAGATTGAGATGGTGATCAAACATCTAAACCCTAGGTTAAGCACAACTCAAAAAGAAAGAGCAATTAATCAACACATAAACGAAATCAAACCGGAACGATTACCCCCTAACCCTAGCTAATGGATTTAGCTACTCATTGCAATTTTAACACAAGAACTCATAATCAAACCAAACATCATATTCATAATCAAAATGAAAAGAGATGCTTACGATTAATAACAAATCCAATGTCAAGAGAAAGCAACGAACAACCGAAATCCAAGCGAAAATTGGAGTTTTTATGCTCCAAGATCAAATCAAAAATCAAAACAAGTAAAAAGTATGTTTTTGGGATGATATACTGTGTAAAACCAGATCTGGGAATGTTCAAAAGTGACCAAAATTCGATCTCTTAACCCCCCAATTCGAAATCCCGAGAAAATAGCAGCTGTTACAAAACGGGGGGATAGCGGCGCTATGGGGATAGCGCCGCTATGGTTGGAGGAGCTTGACCCGCAGCCCATCGCTAAGCTGCATAGCGCCGCTATGCAGGTGGCCATAGCGGCGCTATGGCCATAGCGGCGCTATGGCCTGGAGAGCTCTTCTGCCCATCGCTAAGCTATGTAGCGCCGCTATCAAGGTGGCCATAGCGGCGCTATGGCCATAGCGGCGCTTTGTTCTTGGCAGCTTCCAAATTTCCAAGTTGTGAACTCGTGAGCTCTCGTCTAGCATTGCTCGGGTACTGCCCGAGCTATAAATCCAATCTCCGCATGCTTAAGTCGTACCGCACATCACTTTCAACATCTGCAACCTGAAAACCACCACAACCGAACAAACACGAAAAAGAAGAGAAAAATAGGGGAAAAACCAAGATAATACTAAACACCACGAAAAATACCAGAAAGTCGAGAATGACTAAAAAGGACCAGACAAACCTAACAAAAGACCTAAAACAGGGAAAACAACACACAAAATAGCAACAAAAATAGCAACAAAAACGGGACAAACACTAATCCTTGGTTCAAATAAAGCAAAAACCTCCGAAACATATTGTTGACGTAACGTAAGAAAGTCCCTCCTGAAAGCCTCAGAAGCGGCCCCCTGCACATTCCATGAAATAATCTTCATAATAAAAATCGGGAAGGGAGGAAAGACACCAAATCCAGCTCAAGACCGCCGGCCTCATCCACCATAGGCTCATCTCCTGGGTCCAACAAAACCACTCCAGTACGGCCCCGAGGCTCCACTGGCTTATCCGTTACAACAACGACTTGGTGGTTATTCTGGTCCAATGTGGAGGGGGCAACTGTGACAACCTCAGACTCTGGATGGTGTAGTGTCACCGTACAGGTCTTGGCCAAATGGCCCCCAAACAGCGAACGATCCCCATTACCCCGAGAAGTCTTCTCAACCTTGTTAGTAACCGTCCGCCAAGAGACTGTAGAGGTCCCGGAGGATTCCCCTATGAACAAACAGGGTACCGACGGAGAAGCAGCCCCTGTACCCGCCTTCTTCTTTCCAGCAACCTGCCGCCATTTACGCCAATCGGTCTCCGTAATCTTAGGATTAGAACCAGCTTTGAACGAAGGGCCCCTCTTAGACACCGTCCCATCCTCAACCCTTACACTATTGGAACCAGCCGGAGCCGGGGTCGCCTCCTCCACATTCTCCCGCTGCTGCTCCTCCGTCCCCTCAACACACCAAACCGTGATCCCTGGACCCGAGCGCTACCCGAACTCTGGCCTGAGGTCTGGTCCCCAGCCCGTTGGCACGGAGGTGGCCGTCTCGCCGTCTTTGCCATCAACCACGGCCCGAACTGCCCGCCTTCAGTATCGCCATCGCCATCATTCTCGTCTCCGGCACGCTGATGCACCGGGGCCCCCCGCTGGTTCGTCGACCTCGGGGTCTGGCCCCCCAGATCGCCCTGCGCACTCCCGCCCTGTGGATCCTTGCGATGGGGGAAAAGCGCCGAGACGTGACCATAGAAGCCACAGGTAAAGCATATATCTGGAAGACATTCGTACTCGACCCGCTGAAATTTGCTTTGAATGGAGAAGCCCGCACAGACCTGCTTCGTAATATCCAAGGCAATAGCCAACCGAGCGTATTTGCTCTCGACTGATTCACTGTCTGATGATCAATTTTGATGACCTTACCAACAATATCCCCAATGGTCCTAAACACCTTCTTGTGGTACAAATGTACCGGCATACCCGACAGTCGAATCCAAGTCACAAGCGATTTAATCTGGTTACACGATGCAACAAACTCGGCACTCCAAGGCTGAACATGAAGATAGAACTTTTGGTATTGCTTCGATATCATCCAGGGTCCCCCGACGAGAGCTTGAACGGCATCAGCCTGAGTAGCAAACCGTATTTGGAAGTAGCCGTTCTCCAAATCTATCATGTCACAACCAGTCATAAACGGCCATAACGAAGTTAACTTGCTGTACAAGAGACGGTGGGGCAGCACCGCCCCCATCACCTTAACCACTACCACATTACTCCATGCCTTCAGTAGTTGCTCTTGGAAGCTATCCGTTAAGCGTACATCTGGCACCGGCCCTTTCCGGTCGACAAACACATCCGCCACCGAATTCTCCAACTCCTCCTCCTCATCTGAGAGCAATTCGACATGGGGACGTACACTACTAAGGACCTCTCGGAAAATGGGTTTCCCCCGCGCTCCATCTGGGTTCTGTCGAGGGCCGCCATCCTCAAATACGACTGCAACTGAATCATCTAGGGTTCGAGTACGTTTAAGCAAACGAGAATCCGGGGCCGGCCAAGGGCTTGGGTGTCGCATCAATCTCTCATCATGTTTGCCTCTGTCCGGAGGATCAACCTTAGGGTCGTCCGGCGAACTACCTGTCATCATTGTCTCAACGCTGAAGTTAGGGTTTTTCTCCATCTTTTTTCCTCAATTTAGGCCAATTTACACCCTTATTATTTCTTAATATTAATAACTTAATATAATAATTACAGTTACAAATTCTTGTACTTAAAACAACACCGAATATATAAGCCTATAAATTGGTGTCAACTTTCACCAATCAATCGCTACACCTTAATTCTACTATCAAGCTGACAAGAAGGGGTAGCTCAGTTGGTAGCACCCCTCACTTGAGACCAACATGTCACGAGTTCGGGTCACCCAAAAAGATAAGTGTGGAATCACTATTGATCATTTTTAAAAGAAAAAAAAATCTCCTATCAAGCTACATTTGCATAATCTTCTTCTCAAATCATTTTTCATCCTATTTTTTCAATGGTTGCACATAAGTTCGGCAAACAGTGTGCTTATTTGTATAATTTCTCTAAGATTATTATTTATTTTTTCTTACTTTGTATAATCTTGAAGTGTTTTGATAATTGTATAGTTTATTATTTTGTTAATATGAATTAATCGCAGCGTGATGTATCAAAACGTACAAAACCACAATGTCGCAAGGTGTTGAGAAAAGATCATTGAGTTTGTTCTTGAAGACTTGAAGTTTGTTATAATTTTTATCATATTACAAAGTTCCAATTTGAAATTAATAATTTGTAGTGATTGAGATTTTGACGATAGAAACATCACAAATATTGTCTATAATAAACAAGTGTTTAATAATATTTAGATTTACTATTTTAAATCACATTAATTAAATTAAGATTTTTAATTTTATTTATATTTTTTATTATTTTTTCTTTTATAATATCGTCTTACGTGCAAATGCAATTTATAAAGATAATAATGATGGAAATTAGTTAAATTGAATTATATTTGAATTAGATTTTGAATAAAATAGTATAAAAGTTATGGAAAATGATACATTGACAACACAAGTGAAAATAGTTCCAAAAAATTAAAAATAAAAAAATATATACAAGTAGAGTGGAGGTTTCAACTTGTGTTGTCAATCTAATTGTACACTAGGTTGGCAATGTAGTATTTCCCGTCAAAAGTTATTCGATAATATTATAACGTTGGGAGATTTTATGCTCCCGTTACGTAACCATTCTGTCGGAGTTTGTAAACCGTTAGATTAACTATCGCAATAATTACATGATGATTTAATTGTTATAAATTCCAACATAATGATTTGAAAGTGTAGCGGGACTCTCAATTATTAAAAAACACAAGCGGAAAAAGGATTTAGAATAAATAATAGCAGCGGCTTGTCGAAGCGAGACAGACAGACGAAGGTGGCAACTTGTGAATAAAAGTAGATGCAAACGCTTCTTTTGTTGGTTCAAAATAAAATAAAGGGAAATGCTACAGTCTCATCACGGAATCATTTCGTTTGGTTTGTAACCGTTAGATCATCTGTCTTACATAATGATCTAACAGTTACAAATTCCGATGGAATTATTCCGTAACGGGACCGTAATATTTTCTTAAAATAAAATAAATAAATTAATCAATTAATTATTAAGTTTATATATAAATAAAGAAGAAAAAAAAGAAAAATAGCAAAGGTCTATCCTCGAAAACTGCTTGTCTCAACCACGTGTCGCTACCCAAATCATGTCACATCCAACACGTGTCGCTCTCCTCGCCCTTCTACGTTACGCTTTCGACACCTTTTCCATTTTTTTTCACAATTTTACCCCCCAAAAAATGAATTATTAAACAAAAATATACTAGTACTATATTTTCATTCACTCTCCGCCATTTTTGTTTTTTCTTTTTTCTTTACATTTTCTTTCGCCCTTCAATCATACAGAACTTCAAGCCTGCTGCCATCTCTAATGGCTTCCATCATTTTTCCGATGGCCCCTTTTACTCTCCGATTAACCCCTTGAAAACCCAATATTTTCTATTTCTCCCCTATTTCTCTCTCTCTCTCTTTGAATTTTTTCCCCTTTCTTGAATTGAGAAACAAAATCCAATCTTTATCCATTTTCGCCGGAAAAAATGGTGAGCCCCCACTAAAATTTCGGTTTATCCCCACCAAAAATTGCAATTGAAACCCTTTCTCGAGCTTGAACAAGTATTAAATGGAGGGAGCTGAGGAAAACAGAGAAATAATCGATCTGCTCCGTAGATTTACGAAAATACGCAGCGAGTGCCCTAACGAGAGCAAGAAGAAGCTCCCGGAGGAGGAGGAAGAAGAAGACGAGGACGTGGAGCTCGGCCTGGGCCTGTCGATGAACGGGAGGTTCGGGGTGGACCCCAACAGGAGCAAGAAGCTGAAGCGCTGCTCGTCCATAGCGGACGTGGCCCTGGCGAAGGCAGGGCCCCAAGCGCGCGTGGCGGGGGTCGATTTGCACGGGCCGCTGTCGAGGACGCGGTCCCTGCCGGCGGGGACGGAGGAGGAGTGGCGCCGGCGGAGGGAGCTGCTGACAGCGAGGCGGATGGAGGCGAGGAGGAAGAGGATGGAGAGGATGAGGAATCTGAGGGTGCCGCCGAGGGACGCCGCCGCCGCCGGCGGGAGAAATATGCCGCCGCGCGAGGCTGTCGAGTCGTCGTCTCAAGGGTCGGTTGGGCCGATGAGGAGCGGTTCGTCTGGCTCGTCTGATCTAATTGAAGGTAAACTGAAATTTCTTGGGATTTTCAGTCTGGTTAGGAGGATGAAGATTGAAGGGCTGATTTGATGATAAATGATGGGTCTTTTTAGTTTGATAATTGTTTATCTTGTTTGGTTTTATTCTGTTTTTGGATGATGGAATTCGTGCATTTGGTGTTATTGTTTTGAATTTTGTTTATCTTGCTGTTGCTCTTGTATCATGATGAATGAGATGTTTTGCATTCATATATTGAATCGAATACGATCGATTTCTACTCTGCGAGTGAGCATTTCTATTTTCTGCTAAGGCTGCTTAGTTTTTTCATATGAAAATGTGCATTTTTTTGTTAGAACAGTATAACTTTAGGCTGCTCTTCTTATTCAGTTCCTAGACATTATGTGAAGACTGTAAAAAATGTCTGAAATTCATATGTTTGACTTCAGTGGATTTCATCTCATGCTCGTATTTTGGAACGTCATGCGGTAGTTTCAATCGTTTGCTACTTGCTGTGGTGCAGAAAATATATAAGGCGAAGTTGAAAATTCAGATTTGTTTTTAACTCTTGATTATGTTGCTCACTGAATGAGAATGAGATATTGGTTTTCATGCACTCATAGTAGATGAGTAAATGTGGCTTTGCATTTGCCTGCCACAAAATTAACTTCATACTTTGTTTTAAGTGAACATTTACTTGATCATTATGCTTTAATAGTTAAATATCTGTATCATGATTATTTCTTTTTTTCTTAAATGTTACCCCATGAAGTACGAAAACTAGGAAGTGAATCTAGGGCTTGTTCGTTTGGCACACTAGAAAAATGAGATATTATCTCCGAAATAGTACAACTATTTTGTCGAGCAATTTGAATATTTTCCTTAAGCTTGTGAGTAAATATTCTAGACCTAATTGCTTTAGAGTGAATTTCACAGGGGATAATGGTCCTCAAATGTTCTTGTGTTTGACTCTTCAGACGATATCATTCATTGTACTCATATTTTAGTCATTTTGATTACACAGGACCGAAACAAAATGCTGAGGTGTCGCCTTCTAGTTCCAGCAGGCAGATTCCAAAGGGGCACGAGCCAGCTGGCCGAGCCCTCGAGAGAGAAGCAAAAAGCGCCACGTGTCAACATGTCAAGAACACGATGCGCGACATGCCGTATGTGACCACTAGAGAAGTCGGGCCTAACGGCCGTAGAGTCGAAGGATTCTTGTACGGTTACAAAAAAGGCGAGGATGTTAAAATCGTGTGTGTTTGCCACGGCTTGTTTTTCACGCCCAAGGAGTTTCTCGAGCACGGTGGGGTCCGGGGTGACGTGGAGCATCCGTTGAAGCATATTGTCGTTAACCCTTTTCCCCTTTTGTGATATGTCCTCTTGTACTAGGTTGCAAAAAACTATGTAGACTTTAGGTTTTGAGAGTTTGAGGACTTGTTTAATGTCATTGAGAAAGAAGAAAAAAGGGGTTTGTAAGGAAAAGCTTTATGTTGTTGACCTTCTCAGGGATTTGTAGCCCTTTTTCAGTTAAAATCATTTTGGATTGCTTTGTGTTTTGATTGTATAATGTTGTATAATTGTATATAATACTCTGTATTAATCAACTAGAAGTTTTTGGTGAATATTTAAGTGTTTCTAAAATTATCTAACCTCAAATGGTGGAATTACACTAGATATGTTACTAAATATACTCTCAATTAGATTGTGTCTCTGCGGATGTTTTGTCGTTAACTTTTTTAATAGTTGTTCCAATGACTCCAAACTCACCCAAATGCTCTATTACAGATAAGGGCGAGCAAAATCGAGCTGAATTTTGCAATTCGGTGCATTATTGTTCATCTTTTTAATGGAAGAAATTTTCGATTCGGTTTCGGTTTGGTTTTTCCTACATTGTGGTGTTGTGCGGTTATAGTTTTTCATTAAGACTATGTTTGATAAAACTAGCTGATAGCAGCTGAATTAGCTTATAGCTTATTCGTAATTTTCGAGCTTATGAATTATAGTTGCAAAACTAGCTTATATTATAAAAGTAAGATAGAATTAGCCGACTTGCTAATTGAAATAAAAATTTTAATGAGCTTATTTAAAAAACTATTGAAAAGAAATTTATTTAAATACATGAAACTTATAAACTAACTAAATAACCTATAAGTTAGATTATTTGTCTACTAAAAAACTATTTGATTTTCAGTTTTATTTGGTTCGGTTCTCCAAATTGAATAAAATGTATAAAAAAACCGAAGAAAAAAAGAAAACCGAGCCAAACCATGCATTTCGATGCAATTCTAATCGGTTATTTAGTGTAAAAGAATTTCAATTTCGGTTCGATTTTTTTCTAAATTGCGGTGCAGTTCTGTTGTTTTTTCTATACATTGTGTGGTCAAACTTTCCTCCACAGCAAGAGCCAACGCTCCAAATTTTCCTCCAAAGCAAGAGCCGTAGCCTCAAAATCATTAAAAATCGATCGAAATTTCTTCCAAAGCAAGAGCCGGAGACCGAAAACTTCCCCAAAGCATGAGCAACAGCCTCAAAATCATTAAAAATCGATCGCAATTTCCTCCAAAGCAAGAGCAAAAAACCCGAAATGCGATAGACCAAAGGAAATATTTCAAACACATTCTAACAGAAGTTCAATCTGCAAAAACAAACATACCTGATATCTCTTTACAAGAAAATTCGAGCCTGCTTTGGTGCTACCATAGGTAGGGAGGGAGGGAGGGAGGGAGGGGCCATTAACCACATGATCTCACACTCTAAGCCTGAAAAAAAAAAGAATCTTTTTCTTTTTCTTCTTCCTCAGAAATCTCATTTTCTCACAGAACAAAATAGCAAAAGAGATACAAAGTATACAACAATGTGCGAACAAAGCGAATCATCTGCACTCTTCTGCAGCTCTTCTGCAGGGCAACGCATCAGTAAAAACTCTCTAACCTACCTATCATCATCAAGACACTGAAAAAAACTACACTACGAATTTACAAGGTGCTACAAATTCAACACTAACAAGGTGGCGGCTGAAGCTGCTTCAGCCGCTTGACCACCTGCTTCATAGTCGGCCTCGTCGAAAGCGACTCCACCGTACAAACCACCGCTAAATGTAGCACCTCTATTAAATCGTCGTGTGGGCCCACATCCCAAAGCCCACTTGCGAAAAACTCCTTAGCCCGGCCCTCACGCAGAAGCATACACCCCCAAGCCACGATATTAAACCCATTCCCGTACGAAGAAAACGAGGGATCGAGCAATTTCTTATCCGAAAACAGCTCCAGCAAAACCACCCCGTAACTGTACACGTCAGCCTTATCCGAAACCCGACACGTCATAGCGTACTCTGGCGCCACATAACCGAAAGTTCCCGCTACACCAGTCGTGGCATGTGTCTCTGAGTTCCCTAAGAGTCGGGCCAGCCCGAAATCCGATAAATACGCATTGTAACCCTCGTCTAGAAGTATATTGCTCGGCTTCACGTCCCTGTGGAGGACACGTGGCACACACCGGTGATGTAAGTAGGCTAGTGCGTTCGCTATATTCAAAGCGATCTTGTGGAGAACCCGCCAATCGACGGGCCGGGTCGATCTCTCCTGAATAAACCGCTCCAAATTGCCACCTGGCAAATAGTTGTAAATCAAGAACATCTCGTTTTCGCTCGCGTGGTACCCGATTAGCGTCACGAGGTTCGGGTGGCGTAACCGGCCGAGCGTTTTTACCTCTGCGTCGAACTGCTGGACGCCTAGCTGGAATCGACCGATCGAGAGGCGCTTGATTGCCACGAGGACACCTGGCGCGATCTCGGCTTTGTAAGTCGCCCCGAATCCTCCGCTCCCAATGCAATTGCTCGCGTTGAAATATCCGGTGGATTGAACAACTTTCTCGAAAGTCAACGGGACTCCTATATTGGTGAAGACGATGAGATCTTTCCGGATGGCAGTGCTTACTCGAGACCTCGGTTTCAATTTTTGGGTGTAGAAAAAAAGGACAATTAAGGCGAGAAGAATCGAGACTATGATGGCCGAAGAAGTTATCGAGGCGATCTCAACAGTTTTGAACTCGTCGTGATTCTTACTCTGAGTAGCGTTTGATGACGAGGATAAATTGCCATTCGGCAGGTTCACGGTTTGGCTCGGTTGGTATGTAAAGGATGGTGAGTTCGAGAGAACGGGACAGTGGAAAGAAGGGTTTCCGATAAAACTGTTGCATTTAATCATGGTGTTGTTTATGGGCGGAGTTCCGGATAAATAGTTGAAGGACACGTTGAAAATCGAGAGGGTGGGTATGTTTGGTAGTTTGAGGGGTAGCCGTCCAGTCAGCTTGTTGTTGTTCAAGAGGAAAACTTTCAGTTTTCTCAAGTTGGTGAGGTTTTCCGGAATTTCGCCGGAAAGTGAATTGGAAGATAAGTCAAGCACTTCAAGGGAGTACAGCTGTCCCAAGCTTGCCGGAATAGGACCGTCCAAGTTGTTTCCGGCCAAGGAGAGGGATTTTAGATCCTTCATTCTGGCAAGGCTGCTCGGAATGGGACCCGATAGTAAATTGCGGCTCAAATTGAGGACCAGAAGTGAAACCAAGCCACCGGTACTAGGAGGAAGGCTACCGGAAAGGCGATTGCCGGATAAATCCAGGACTATCAAATTCTTACATGTTGAGGCAATATCAGCCGGGATTTGACCGGTCAACCTGTTTTTTGTTACGTTGAGTATTATACTTCCTGCCTGATCACACTTGTCAAAGAAAGCTCCGGTGAGGCTTCCGGTGAGCTTGTTTCCACCCGCAAGAAATGCATAAACAGAATGCTTGCCGAGTATTTCGAATGCAACAGGTGTCGAATAAACAGGCCCCGTAAAGTTGTTTGAGCCGAAATTATGTACGACCATGAATCTGCCATCGTTTTTGTCGTGAAACTGCGAATAGTTTTCAATCAGAGTTTTGTATCTAAAATACGATACATATGTGGACGTATATGAAAACTTCCGATTCAAGTGCCGGACGGGATAGCAAGGTTTGTTGCTAAAAGTGGGAATATCACCCGAGAAATAATTCCCGCTGATATCAAATAGAGTCATACAAGGAACGGGAATGTTATTATCAACAACCTCACCACTGAGTCTGTTGTAGCTCAAATCAAGAAACCAAAGCTTCGTGCAGTTGGTAAGGCCATCCAAGACTTTCCCAGAATAATAATTCTGAGCCAAATTCAATACCTCCAAGCTTTCGCACGAGCCCCAACTATAAAGGCTTCCTTCCAAAGTCGCCCTCGGGCCCCACACCATTCTCAAGCTAGAGAGGCGAGTGATTTCCAATGGAATAGTACCTTCGTAAAAATTGTACTCGTCAGCAGAATACAATCGCTTCTCCTCCAAATAACCAACTCCTAAACTCGAAATATCGGGAATTGGATCCCATAAATTCGACAGTATAAGTACAGATAACTTGGTGCAATTACCGAGCTGTGGAGGTATCGGGCCGCCAAAATTATTCCTCGACACGTCAAGAATTTCCAGCTGGCTCAACTGGCCGAGTTCGCTCGGAATAACTTCCTCCAATATATTCGAGTACAGAATAAGAGATTTTAACCCTTTACAGTTCCCGATGCCTTTGGGAATACTCCCAGCCAAGTAATTCCCAGAAAGATCCAAATGCTCGAGCTTCCCACAGTTATCACCAATCTCATCGGGTATAAATCCACCAAGCAGATTATAAGACAGGTAAAGCCCTCTCAAATCTGTAAACTTGCCGATAAACCCCGGGATGGAACCATTAATTTGATTCCCAGCCAAATTCAAAACTTGGAGTCCCACAGATTCATACAAAGAACCTGGTATTTCACCAGAAATCTCGTTGAATCCCAAATTAAGAATTTTCAAAATCTTCAACCCACTGAACTGAGCGGGCAATGAGCCTGAAACTAAATTTCCCTCGAGGTCAAGCACCTCGAGCTTCTCCATTCCCCAAATTTCGAAAGGAATTTCGCCACTTAACTCATTGAAGGGTAAAGATAAAATTCTGAGCTCACTAAGCCTAGCAACAGCAGCAGAAAGTCTGCCCAAGATTTTAACTCTCCGACCTCGGCGCAAACAAGGTCGTCGCCTAATTCCAAACACATAAAGCGGAAACCTAGAAATTCTCGCACAAGAAAGGGCATTACCTCCACCGGCAATAATCAAGGATACGACCCGAGAACCCGAATCACAAGAAACTCCGAACCAGGAGCAGTGATTCGGGTTGTTTTGCAAACTCCAGCTGCTGAGCAAGTCGTAAGGGTCCGACAGCGAGGCTTTGAACTCCAACAGAGCGGATTTGTCCGAATCGAATGCACAAACCTCGTCGTTTTGAGCTGAGAGCAAAACGCAGATGAAGACCAACAGATGCGACGGCTT